GGGGGGCCCCTAGCCGGGGGGGGGCCCCTTATGGCGGGGCCCCTTAAAGGGAGAGGGCCCTTTGAGGTCCTTGAGAGGCCTGTGTTTGTGCCCTCTGTGCATAGGGCTTTATGTGTGCATGCATGCAACATTGGAGGGTGGGGCCTCCCCCCTCCTTTCTATTATATATATAAACAGGGGAGCGGGGGGCCCCCAAGACGACCCTTTTGTAGGGTATATGAGGAGAGGCCCTTCATGGGGCCCTAGGCGACAAGCAGGCGTGCATGCATGCATCCATGCAATCATGCATGCAGTCATGCATGCATGACTGCATGCATGCATGCATGACTGCATGCATGTCTTGAGCAGAAGCGCATGCACGCAAGCAACCACGTCTACTCATGCATGCATGTGTGCATGTAATCATGCTGCATGCAGCTGCATGCAGCAGCGCATGCATGCATGTACACATGCATGCATGCATGCATGCATGCATGCATAGTGGTATATGGGCCATATATCTTAATAAGGGTTTGGCAGCAAAGGAGCAGGGGGCCCCCCAGGTGCTCTTATTGATGACTAAAGGGCCTATCGTCTTCGTTTTGCCTGTGGGGAGGGGGGCCCCCCTCAGCAGCAGCTTAAGGCAACAGCAGCAGCAGAAGCAGCAGCAGCAGCGGAGAGAGAGAGAGGGACAGAGCAGCAGCAGCTGTTGATGCTTCTACTGTTGCTGCTGCTTCTACTGTTGCTGCTGCTGCTGCTGCTGCTGCAGGGCCCCTGGCGGCACAGGCTTTTTTGTTGTGAGGCTCTTGTTCCGCCCTGCAACAGCAACAACAGCAACTTCCTCGGCAGCCACCAGCTAGCTAGCTAGCTATACAGCTAGCTAGCTAGCTAGCTTGTTCGTTAGCTAGCTACACAGCTAGCTAGCTAGCTACACAGCTAGGTGGCAGTACAGCTAGCTAGCTGAGCTGCTAGCTAGCTAGCTAGTCAGCTAGCTAGCTAGCAGCTAGCTAGCTAGCCAAGCGCCGAAGCCCCGATAGTCGCCGCAACCATCTATCAAGAGTTACTTATACCCCAATTTATTTGTGTTTGCTGCTGCTGCTGCTGCTGCACCAACTGCAGCAGGAGAAGCAACAGTAGTTGCTGCAGAGCAGGTACTAAGATAGCAGCAACAGCATAGTTATTCTGCATTTAGCATTTAGTCAGTTAGATGGTCCTTTGCTGCTGCTGCTGCTGCTGTCGCAGTTACATGCTGGATGCACAGTATAGACTGCATGCGCGCGCACGGCGACTAAATAGACTAAATATATATAAATATAAATATACTAAATGTATATATAATTAATTATATTGTATATAGATATAAATATAGATAATATATATAATAAGAGGTATAAGTCAGGAAAAGTTCTATAGGGTTCGTGTCTTTTGGGGCTTTTTTTCTCATGCTTGCCTCGCATGCATGCATGCATCTATGCAAGCATACATGCATGCAACTACGCATGCATGTATGCATGCACATATGCAAGCAACTACGCATGCATCTATGCATGCAACTGCGCATGCACGGATGCATTCATGCATGCATGGATTGGCATGAATCCCCTGTGTGTGTGTGAAGGTCGGTAGATAATATCCCTATTCCCTCCTCACCATTTCTTCCCCTTTCCCTCCTTCCTATCTATCTGCATATATCTGCATGCATGCATGCATGCATGCATGTATGTATGGATGCATGCATGAATGCAGATCTGTACATGCATGGATGCATGCATGCATGCATGCATATATATTATGTATGCATGCATATATAAATGCATGGATATAATACCTCATTAGAAAGATAATTAAATATAATAAATAATAAAATAACAAATAAAATAAAATAAAATAAATAGATAAATATATTTATTGAAATTTATCATCTATAAAATATTCTCTATCAAATGTATATAAACGGACGTATCCATCCTCTCCTCCTGAGGCGTACCCTTTTCCATCGGGCATCCAGCATAAAGTATGTAGGGGACCAAAATGTCCTTTACAGCTTCCTATTTCTTCTCCCCTTACTACATGGTATAGGAGGGCCTCGAACTTACCCTCACCACTTGCTGCAGCACGAGGGACGACAGGGACAAGGAGGAGGAGGAAAGGGAGGACACGGAGGAGGGGAGGGAGAGAGAGAGAAACAGCACACACAGCAATATATATATATATATATATATATATTCATTCTCTGTTTGTAGTTTATAACTATACATCTAAACCCTAAACCCTAATAAACCCTAAACCCTAATAAACCCTAATAAACCCTAAACCCTAGACTTACATGTAGTTGTGACATTCTCTGCTGCTTGTCCTCCACCTAATAATAAATGTAATTTTCTTTCTCCTCCTGGATGTGTTAATAAGGGGCTTAATCCGCATGCATTCAATGGACGATCTGTTGTATATGTCTGCAGCAGCAGCAGCAGCAACAGCAGCAGCAGCAGCAGTAGTAGAGTTAGTGCCGTGGAGAGCAGCAGGAGGAAGGGGGAGGAGAAGCAGCAGCAGATACAATAAAGGAGACACTAAAAGGAGACAGAAAAGGAGACAAAAAAGTAGACAAAAAAGGAGACAAAAAAAGGAGACAAAAAAGGAGACAGAAAAGGAGACAAAAAAAGGAGACAAAAAAAGGAGACAAAAAAGGAGACAAAAAAGGAGACAATTAGTGACTGACCTTAAGACATTCCCAATCCTTTGTTGACCACAACTTCGCTGTCCCATCAGAGCAACTCTGCAGCAGCAGCAGCAGCAACAGCAACAGCAACAGCAGCAAATGCATGAATATGAGCAGCAGCAGCAGCAGTCATCTTTCTATTATCGGCACCAGCAGCAAGTGCATCACCATCAGCAGCAAGTGCAGCACCATCAGCAGCAGCAGCAACAGCAGCAGCAGCAGCAGCAGCAGCAGCAGCAGCAGCAGCAGCAGCAGCAGCAGCAACAGCAGCAACAGCAGCAACAGCAGCAGCAGCAGCAGCAACAATACTGCGTACCGTGAGTGCAAGCATTCTATCATCAGAGAAGCTCATGCATGTAATATTAGATGAATGTCCTCTTAATTCACTAATATATTGTCCATTAGATGCATCCCATACCTAGAAGAAAAAAAAAAACCCTAAACCCTAAACCCTAAACCCTAAAATAACTCCAGTGTATTATTACGAGTGTATATATGGGTCTATAAGGGACTCAATACTCCAATTAGTGTTTACTAAACTAGGGTTTATGGTATAGGTAGGGTATATTTATCCTTTATGGTGTATCTATGGATATATCTAGGGTTTAGGGTTTATCTAGGGTTTATCTAGGGTTTAGGGTTTAGGGTTTAGGGTTTAGGGTTTAGGGTTTATACCATAATATCTCCATTCTCATGTGTAGATATAATTGTTTCATCAAATGGACCCCAATGAACTTGAACACATCTACTTGCATAATCATCTTGACACCATAACCTTTTTGGTGTGTCACCTTCTACCTATACATATATATATACATAAACCCTAAACCCTAAACCCTAAACCCTAAACCCTAAACCCTAAACCCTAGGATATGAAAAAAAAAAACATGAAATCACGAGGAAGGAAAGATATCTTAGACACCAAAAATACTACTGATTAAGGGTTTAGATATATATATTAGGGTTTAGATATATATGTATTAGGGTTTAGATATATATGTATTAGGGTTTAGATAAATTAGGGTTTAGGGTTTACAAACCTTCCAAGCTTTAATTGCCTTTTGGCTATTCCTAAAATCATCATGGCAAATAACAAATTTATTTTGTTCAGTTGGTAGACGGCACCATTCAACAAATCTGAATAACAAACCCTAAACCCTAAACCCTAAACCCTAAACCCTAAACCCTAAACCCTAAACCCTAATTTTTTTTTAAATATCCAAAAGTATATATATATATATATATAAATAACGTCTTTTTTCCCCTCGTTTTCTCCCGTCTGTCCCTCCCTACCCATACAACAGCAACAACTATCAGCAGCAGCAACAGCAGCAACAGTAGCAACAGGAATAAAAAAAAAAATGACCTGCAGGGTCCTTCTTCAGGTATTTCATGTAATAATTTAGCTGTACAGACATCAAAGATGAGTATTTTTTGATCTGCTGATGCAGCAACAAGACGAGAAGAATCTAGTGTACAATCACATGCCCATACGACACCTTTTCCTACATCGTACGTTCCTGTATACATATATATACATATATACATATACATATATTTTTTACGAATTTCGTATACGAATTTCGTATTTATATATGTACGTATATATATAATTGTGGGGTTTATATTTTTTTATTTTATTTATTTATTTATTTATTTATTTATTTATTTATTTAGATTAATAAGAAGGATTTATTTATAATTAATTTTATTAATTATAATTATATAAATAATAATTAATTATAATTAATTATTAATAATTAATAATAATTAATAATAGTGTTATGCTATATCTCGGTTGTATAACAGCATAGGCCACAAGCAGCACCAACAGCAGCAGCAGCACAAGAAGAAACAGCAGCAGCAGCAGCAGCAGCAGCAAGACGATAAGAAGAAATGTATGCAGGAACAAACAAGAAAAGAATAGAAATAACCCATAAAAGGAGTATACAGATAGCAGCAGCAGCAGCAGCAGCAGCAGCAGCAAGAATAAAATATATGTTTATTTATTTATTTATTTTATTTTATTTTATTTATTTTATTTATTTTATTTATTTAATAATAATAAGTACGAATAAGAAAAAAAGATAAACACAACAACCCCACCACTACTTACCAATACGTGCACCATCCTCTGTCCTCCATAAGGAGAGGTTGGCATCCTGCAGCAAAAAAAGCAGCAGCAGCAGCAGCAGCAGCAGCAGCACAGTAGCAAATACATATATAGGCTGTTGCAGCAGATGCTGCTATTGTTGTCGTTCCCTATGGGGTGCTGCAAGTGCTGCTGCTGCAGCATGCTGCAGCAGCAGCAGCAGCTGCTGCTGCTGCTGGTAAGATTCGTGTTAAGGATATGTGACTTGGTCTTGATGGAGTTGCTTGTTCTAAGACATCCTGTTGCTGCTGTTGCTGCAGTTGCTGCTAGTGGTGCTGGAATTGCTGCTGCTGCTGCTGTTGTAGCAGCAGCTGCTGCTGCTGTTGCTGCTGCATGCATACCTTGCCACAAGAAAACATTAAGTCTCCATCTCTATTAAATTGTACCCAAGTAAGAGGCCTTACGTGGCCCTGCAGCAGAAGAGGATGCATCCTGTGTCAGTTTGCAGCAGCAGCAGCAGCAGCAGCAGCAATAGTAGCAGCAGCGGCGGCAGCAGCAGCAGCACAAACTGACGATCTTCCCCTCAGATCCTCTATATAAAAATAATTTGTACCATAAAGAAAATTTCTTTCTGTTTGCTGCTGCTGCATGCAGACGCGCTTCTGTGGGGTCCACAGCAGCAAGCCCCGGCAGCACGAGCAGCAGCAGCAGTAGCAGCAGCAGCAGCAGCAGCAGCCAGCAAGCCTGCTGCTGCTGCTGCTGCTGCTGCCTGCTGCGGCTGCTGTGGCTGCGAGAATTAGCGGCCTCTTTGCTATATATAATAGACAAAACTTTTCTTTCTTTTCTTCTTTTTATTTCTTCCTTTTTGCCTTAATATAAACAAATAGCAATAAAGAAGACACTGAGCAAGACATGCATTAGCTGCAGCAGATCCAACGAGCAGCAGCAGCAGTAGCAGCGGCAGCAGCAGCAGCGGCAGCGGCGCAGGCGACTGCAGCAGTAGCTACAGAGAAAGCAGCAGCAGCAGCAGCAACACGAGGCAGTGTACTAAGGAAGACATTCTTTGACTCATTGCATGCACCCATCCCTAGGACTGGTGCTGCCAGTAGCAGCAGCAACGGAGCAGCAGCAGCAGCAGCAGCAGCAGCAATAGCAGCAATAGCAGCAATAGCAGCAGCAACAACAACAGCAGCAGCAGCAGCGCATTAACAAACGGACCCAGCAGTAGCAGCACACTTTCTATCAAGCAGATAGCAGACTCTGGTCCCAGGCAGCGAGCTCTCCGCTTGCTGCTGCTGCTGCTGCTGCTGCTGCTGGGGGTCGTTATTATAGACAGCAGCCAATGGCAGACAAACCCCAAATACGGCGGCGGTATGATCCGCAGCAGCAGCAGCAGCAGCAGCCGTTAGAGCCGCTGCGGCGGCCGCAGCAGCAGCAGGTGCCGCTCCCGCTGCAGCAAAATAGCGCTGGCACATATGGAGGACAGCAGCAGCAGCAGCAGCTTTACGGGGGTGCAGCAGCAGCAGACACGCAGCAGCATGCGGCGTATTCCAATGAACAGCAACTGTATGGTCGTCAGCAGCAGCAGCAGCTGCCACAGCAGCAGCAGATGCCGCAGCAGCAGACACCGCAGCAGCAACCCTTCAGACATCAGCAGCAGCAGTACGGATGGGGCACTGGGGGCCCCTCAGAGTCAAGCTACCCGGACTATCAGCAGCAGCAGCAGCAGCAGCATCCGCTGCAGCAGCAGCAGCATGGATATCAGCAACCGAGGGCCCCCTACGGCCAACAGCAGCCGCAGCAGGTGTATGTACAGAAGTCTCCCTTTCAGCAGCAGCAGCGGCAGCAGCAGCAGCCGCAGCAGCCGGATTACATGATGGGGAGAGCAGCAGATGGTACTAGGGGGCCCATGGGGCCCCTCTCCCGACAGGGTACAGGTGTGAGGCCCCCCCGGGGCCCCCCTGATTCTGCTGACGAGAGGCAGCAACAGCCCCCTTACTATGGGGTCGCTAACACAGTAAGCAACAAATGCAGCACTGCTGCAGCTAGCTAGCTAGCTAGCTAGCTAGCTAGCTGTTAACTAGATGGTTAGATAGGTGTTAGCTAGCTGGCGGCTGTCTGGCTAGCTAGCTACAACGTCGTACCACGTTACGCACCTGCTGCTGCTGCTGCTGCTGCTGTTGAATGCTGCAGGAATACATGCAGCAGCAAGACGGGTATATGCGTGGGGGGGCCCCCTCGGCCAGCTATGGGAGGGGGCCCCTTGAAGGGCCTATGGGGGGCCCCATGGGAGGCCCCATGGGAGGTCCCATGGGAGAGCCTGTGTCTGCTGATGGTAGTATACAGGGGCATCTTGATGCCTCTAGGGATTTTAGGCAGCAGCACCAGCTGCAGCAGATGCAGCAGATGCAGCAGCAGCAGCAGCAGCCTTCTGAAGGTTTGTTCTCGTTAAGGGGTTTGTTTAGATTGTTTGCTGCACAGCAGCAGCAAGACACGGGTGTTGATGCTGCAGCAGCAGCAGCAGCAGCAGAACCACAAAGTGAATCCGATGATCCATTTGAAAACGAGCCGCCTCTCCTTGAAGGTGTGCATTCTAGGGTTTAGGGTTTAGGGTTTAGGTTTTAGGGCTTAGGGTTTAGGGTTTGGGGTTTAGGGTTTGGGGTTTAGGGTTTAGGGTTTAGGGTTTTGGTTGCTGCTGCAGAGTTGGGCATAAACCCTGGAGATATATGGCGACGGATGAAGGCCGTCCTGCTCTTCAGCAAGTGAGGCACTGCAAGGGTTTAGGGTTTAGGGTTTAGGGTTTAGACTTTAGGGTTTAGGGTTTAGCCTTTAGGGTTTAGGGTTTAGGGTTTAGGGTTTGGATTGTATGTGTTACAGGGCGGATCACGAGCTCCTTAAGGAAAGCGATTTGTGTGGTCCCCTCTTGATTGCCATCATCCTTGCTATCCTCTTATTCCTTGTTAGTCCTACCTGCTGCTGCTGCTGCTGCTGCTGTTTATGCTCGTTGCTGCTGGTGGTCTTTGTTGTACTTGCTGCTGGGTTGCTGCGTTGCTTGCAGCGTTTTACTTACAGGCGGGCAAATAAAGGGTTTAGGGTTTAGGGTTTAGGGTTTAGGGTTTGTATATGCAGGGAGGAAAGGCTGCCTTTGGTTGTTTATACGGCATGAGTATAGTTGGATCTTTGTCTCTTTATTTACTTCTTAATTTAATGTCAAGAGTAAGCCCATTAGGGTTTAGGGTTAAGGGTTAAGGGTTTAGGGTTTAGGGTTTAGGGTTTAGGGTTTAGGGTTTGTACGATAGAAACATCTAAAAGGAGCTAGAAACTGCTGCTTCTTTCATATACATATGTGTTGTTGCTGCTGGTGTTGCTGCTGCTGTTGCTGCTGTTGCTGTTGTTGCTGCAGGGAGAAGGAATAGATATATACAGGACAGCATCTATATTAGGTTATTGTTTATTACCTGTAGTTGGTGTTTCTTTCTTTATTTTATTTCTTAATAAAAAAAATTTCTTAAGATTTATTTTTGCATTTCTTGGGGTACTTTGGGCTACTTATAGTGCATCTACTCTATTTAAGACGGTAAATATTATTTATTTATTTATTTATTTATTTATTTATTTATTTATTTATTTATTTATTTTATCTGTTTATTTTGTTTATTTACTTGTTTGTTTATTTGTTTGGTGTTCTTTGGGCTACTTATAGTCCATCCACTCTATTCAGGAGGGTAAATAAGTATATTTAATTAATTAATTAATTAATTAAATTAATTAATTAATTAATTAAACTAATTAATTAATTATTTTATTACGTTTATTATCATACCTCATACATATTGCTGCTGTTGTTGCTGCTGCTGCTGTTGCTGCTGCAGGCTTTGCTGCTGGAGGAGCAGCGCATATTGGTTGGTTATCCTGTCTTCTTGCTTTATACATCCTTTACTATCCTAACCCTCTTCTAGGCCGGGAGCAGCAGCAGCAGCAGCAACAGCAGCAGCAATAGAAGCAACAACAATAGCAGCAGCAACAACAACAACAATAGCAGCAGCAATAGCAGCAACAGGAGCGCCGTCTTTCTCGTGCAGCTTCTTGCTTCCTCATAGACTGCCAAGAGAAAACACAAGAGGGGGGACCCTCTACGGGGCCCTTGCAGGGGGCATATCCAGGGGGCCCCCTCTAGGGGGCCCCTGTGCCTGCATCAATTACTTAGAACTAGATATGAAGCAAGCAGCAGCAAAGGAATGCATGCATACATGCATGCAGGCAAACTTATCCATACCCTTGCCTCTTAGTTAAATCCTTTTATCTTTAAAACCTGTTGGGGGCCCCCCGTGGTTGTTTGTCCTTGGGGGCCCCCTGTGGTTGGTTGTTTTGGGGGGGGCCCCTGTGGTTGTCCTTGTGGGCCTCCCATAGTTGTCCTTGGGGGCCCCCCGTAGTTGTTCGTGGGGGCCCCCTAAGACTTTATTTCTTCTATATATAGAAGGCTTTTACTCCCCCGTAAGGGCCCATAGGGCCCCCCTCCCTAGGGTTTAGGGTTTAGGGTTTAGTTGTTATGGGTCTGTTTAGTTAAATACACAAAATAAGAGGGTACAACTCTTATTAATGACTACAGTTTAGAGGGGCCCCTACCCTGGGGGCCCCAAAGAAGGGGTACAGACACAACAGTTCAGCGAGAGCTTGGGGGGCCCCCCTCTAAGGGGGCCCCTAGAACCTAGAGGAATGAGGGCAAACTTAAGGGAGCAGCCGCAACAAACTTCCCTTTTTCAGGCCGTTGATGCTGCTGCTACAGCAGCAGCAGCAGCAACTGCTGCTGCTGCTGCTACATTTGCTGCATTGGAAGGCACCAGCCACGAGGGCTGCGTATTTCCCTAGCTAGCTGTGTGAACTAATAAAAAGCCAGCGAGCTGGATAGCTAGCTGGCTCGGTTAATGGCTAGCTAGCTACATAGCTTGCTGGCTACCTAGCTAGCTAGCTAGCTGGGTAGCTAGCTGGCTAAATAGTAGCTAGCTATCGAGGAGCAGTGATGGCTTGCTCTGTAGTGGAGTCTTCATTGGATCCGCCGCAAGTACAGCTAAAGAAGCTGCTAAGCAGCCCCTGCTGCTGCTGCTGCTGCTGCTGCTGCTGCAGCTCCGTGACTAAGGTATCTAATCTATGTACCTTCTCCTTTAATGCTGCTATCTCCTGTCTCCTTTCCAACATTAGCTGCTCATGTTCTTGCTGCAGCTCCTTCTCTATAGCCTGCATGTCCTTCGGGTTTACTTGCTGCGCAGCAGCAGCAGCAGCAACAGCAACAGCAGCAACAGCAATTGTAGCGGCAGCAGCAGGCTCGAGGTGCAAATGTCCCGTCGAAGGCAACGGGGTAGTAGGTAAGGGTTCAATGGCATTAATTAGGGTTTAGGGTTTAGGGTTTACAAAAACTTACCCCGGACAGCAACTGAGTCTTCAGGGACAGTTGCTGCAACCGCAAACAATACACAGCAGCAGCAGCAGCAAATGCATCAGAAGCAGCGGCAAATGCAACAGAAGCAGCAGCAAAAACAACGATAGCAGGATTTATAGCAGCAGCAGCAACAGCAGCAACAGCAGCAGGAGTAGCTTACTGCCATAAGGACCTGATTTTCCCTCTCGAGCTGCAGCACAGCACAACAGCATTTTTTTTTATTTCCTTTTATTTATCTGCTGCAGCACGACTCCCCTGCATGCGCTTGCATGCAGCCCCAAACCCTAAACCCTAAAAAGCTCAAGGAAACAGGTGTACGTAAACCTTAATGCATGCGCATGCAAAGGCATAAGAACATACCTTCTTTACTTCCTTCTCCGCATCCACAAGCTGTAAAGACACACATAGACACACAAGCAGCAGCAGCAACAGCAACAGATGCAACAGCAGCAACAACATGTAGGTAGGTGCCAACACAGAGGGACGCAGTGCTGCACAGTGCAGCAGAAGCAGAAGAAGCAGCAGCGGCGGCAGCCATTGAATCAGCTGCAGACATTGCACTCATTCACAGCTGCAGCACCAAGCAACAAAAACAACAACAGCAGCAAGCAGCAGCAGCAGCACCTTGTTAGCAAGGGTGCGTTCTCGTTCCTCATGAGGAGGGATCGTCATCTTCCCTGCCGTTGTGTGCTGCTGCAGTATTCCTCTCTTTTAAGGACCTCAGTGTGGGGCCCCTACAGCTAGCTAACTGCTAGCTACGGCTAGCTGCAGCTAGCCGCTGCAGCACGTGCTACAGCGCGAGCAGCAGCAGTCTGACAGCACAGGCAGCTTTTTGCTGCTGCTGCAGCAGTATAACAAAGGAATTCAAATAAAAACAACAAATAAATAGCAGAAAAATTGCAACAACAGCAGCATGTGCTGCTGCTGCTACTGCATCTCTTGCATCTGCTGCCACGGCTCGCCGCGACCGAGCCGGGGGCCCCCGGGCCCTCAGCCCTGGGGGCCCCCCCTGCAGGTGTGGGGTCATCAATAGTTTAGTAACAGGGTACAATGTTTAGCTAATATTAAATTGAATGCTATTATTGTTTTTTACAGCTAAAGGAGGAGAGGGCCCCTGCCCCCCCTCTGCTGCTGTCGCTGCTGCTGCTGCTTTCGAGTGGCTCGGGGAGGGGGGGCCCTGGGGGCCCCTTATACACCTGAGGCATGAACAACACCCAGCAGCAGCAGCAGGCACAGCAGCAGCAACAGCTGCTGCTGTCGCTGCAGCATAATGCAGGTAGCAGCAGCAGGGAGGAGGGCCAAGTGGCTCCCTTGCTGTTACAGCACGGGGATCCATCTTGGGCCCTAGCAGGATCTACTGCTGCTGCCGCTGCACCTGCTGCACCTGCTGCTTCTGGCAGCGTGCTTCCCACTGCTGGGACCTTCCCAGCAGCAGCAGCAGCAGATGCAGGAGGAGCAGCAGCAAATGCAGCAGGAGGTTACTGGCAAGATGAAGCAACACAAGAGGAAGCAAATGATTGGATGCAGCAGGGAGATGCATCTGATAGTTTCTTCTCCTTCTTACTCCCTCAGACACAGCAGCAGCGGCAACAACAGCAGCAACATCAGCAGCAGCAACAACAGCAGCAGCAACATCAGCAGCAGCAGCAGCAGGACAAATCTCCTCAGACGCAGGCTGCTGCACCTGTCACGAGCATCGGCATCAGCAGCAGCAGCCACAGCAGCAGCAACACCACCAGCAGCAGCAGCAGCAGTAGGCTGACTCACTTGGAGGTGAAGGCTGTAGAACACTATGCTCTTCTATGCAGCATTGAGGTGGTGTTGCAGCAGCAGCGGCAGCAAATATATCAGCAGCTGCAACAGCAGCAGCAGCAGCTACGACGTTTGCGCCGGCAGCAAGAGCTGCAGCAACTGATGCGGGAAAGCAGCCGCAGCAGCAGCAAACGTGCTGCTGCTGCAGGATCTGCTGCACCATTTCGCCCCACAAGGGACCCCTTAACTAATGCAGAGGGAAGGCCGCTGCCTAGCAACAGAGATGCGCTGCTGCTGTGGCAGCAGCAGCAGCAGCAGCAGGTGCAACACAGCCCTAGCGGCAGACCTCGGGTGTCTGCGCTGCTTGCTGCAGCAACACTTAAGTCTTTCCTACTAGAAGGCTCAGCAGCAACAGCAAATCGTGCTGCTGCTGCTGCAGCTGCTTCCAGGACCCTTGCTGCTCCTGCTGCTCTCCTTGCTAGGCAGCTGCATATACACCGTGCTAGGAAGAAGAACAGCAGCAGCAACAGCAGCAAGCGGCTGCAGCTTGCTGCTCGTCCTCATGAGGCTGAGGAGACAGCAGACGACGCAGACACCGCAAACACACAAGCTCTCCTCCTGTCTCTCTTTAAACAGCAGGTACGCTTGTGTCCCTTTGCTGCTGCGGCTCCTGCTGCTGCGGTTGCTGCTGCTGCTGCTGTTGTTGTTGCTTCTGTATGATGAACCTAGCTATCCCCCGAATGCAGCAAGTGTTACATGGGCACTGATTTATGCTGCTGTTGCTGTTGCTGTTGTTGTTGTTGCTGCTGCAGTTGCGTATACACCTGGAGGAGCTGCATATAGCCCCACATGCTGTTGCTGCTACATTCAATGCAGCACGGTGGCCCCCCGGCTCCTTGGATGAGCTGCAGGGGAGCCAGGAGGAGCAGCAGCAGCAGCAGTGGCGGCAGCAGCAGCAACTTGCACTGCGCTCGCGGCAGCAGCAGCAGCAGCAAGAAGATGATGTCTGTACACTCCATCCTTCAAGACTGCTGCAGGGAATTCGATGGCTACTGCATGCAGCAGGCCAGGGAGGCTATGCTCTTGAGCAGCAGCAGCAGCAGCAACAGAAAAAGGTGCCAACTCTTGCTGCTCTGCTGCGGCGTGTAAGTGCTGCTGTTGCTGCAGCAGCACCATCGTCCCTTAGGCTGTCCCCTGCGGAGTGTCTCCTCAGTTTCATGAATGCAACGCCTAGCCAGCCAGCACTGCAGCGCATGCAGCAGCAGCAGCAGCAGCAGCAGCTAGTGGTAGGCGATGGTACGTCTCTTAGTCTTCAAAGACCATCATCACAGCAGCAAAGGCAGCAGCAAAAGCAGCAGCAGCAGCAGCAACACGAAGACATTGCAGCAGGTTTGGCTGCGCTGCAGCTGCACCACGCGCGTGCAGCGATCGAACGCTGCAGCGGCAGCAACAGCAGCAGCAGCAGCAGGAGTTCAGCATTGACAGCAGCAGCTCGGGAGGGAAGGAATTCGGCAAATACAGCAACAGGAGGAGGAGGAACAGGAACAGCAGGAACAGCAGCAGCAGCAGGGGTAGATTTTCTATCTATGGCAGCATACAGCGACTTGCCAATGCCTCCCTTTGTGATATTTCAGGTGTACGTGCAGCTGCAGCAGCAGCAGCAGCAGTTGCTGCTGCGGCGCGAATGGACACCTGAGGAGGATGAGCTGCTGCTCGCTGCTGCTGCTGCAGTGCAGCAGACACCAAGAGGCAGCAGCAAATGGATGCAGGTAGCAGCAAAAGTCCCTGGCCGCAACAACAATCAATGCAGAGCTCGATTTAAGTACCTCCAGGTGGTAAGCATAAACCCCAAACCCTAAACCCTAAACCCTCAATAAGCCTAAACCCTAGACCCTAACTTTGTTTGTCTCTGTCTCCTTTTGTCTGCTTTTCTTTCTAATTAACTAATTAATGAATTAATTAAATTAAATTAACTAAATTAAAAAAATTATAGCAAATTAAATAAAAATATAATAGAAGAATTGTGTGTCATGTCTTGCTGCTGCTGCTGCTGCTGCTGCAACAGGCCTCTAAAAGACACGGTTTATTTACCCCGCACGAGGATTTGCTGCTGCAGCTGCTTGCTGCTGCTTACGGCCGCTGCTGCTGGAATAAAGCAGCAGCACATCTTAGAGGACGTACAGAGATGAAATGTAGAGAAAGGTTAATCACCTGTTGCTGTTGCTGCTGTTGCTGCTGCTGCTGATGCTGCTGATGCTGCTGGGCCAAATCGGAAGACCCCTTCCTGGCCCTGTTTCTGCTGCTGTAGCTGGTGTGCTGCTGATGTTGCTGCTGATGCAGGTTGTATGCTGCTGCAGGTTGTCTGCTGCTGCTGCTGCTCCGCGTGATGACCCACAGTTTTGTCTGTTGCATCCATGTCCAACGGCTGCTGCTGTTGCTGCTCATCTTGCTGCTGCTGCTGCTGCTGCAGAGCCGCCTGCGCGTTGCTGTTGGGGTGTCTCCGCAGGTACCAGCATTGCTTAAGTCCTTTTAAGAAGCCAATGCCATGGACAGCAGCAGAAGGGGCTTTGCTGCGTGCTGCAGCAATTTGCTTCTCTAAGGATTGGAACCGTGCTGCAGTAAGGATACGCAGTGTCTCCTTGTGTCTCCTTACTGTCTTCTGATATTCCCTTACTGTCTCCTTACTGTGTCCTTACTGTCTCCTTATTGTCTCCGTATGCCTCTTTGTATCTTTACTATGTCCTCGTGTCTCCTTGCTGTCTCTTCATATCTCTTTGTGTCTTCTTGTGTCTCCTTGTGTCCCCTCAGGAGCTCCTGTCTGGTCGGTCAGCAGCAGACTGTGCTCAGCACTTTAGCCTCATGGAGACACAGGCAGAAGCAGCACGTGCCGCTTTGCTGCTGTTTGCTACGTGGAGCAACAGCTGCAGCAGCAGCAGCAACAGTGTGGAGACATGGATACAAGCTCATCTGCTGCAGCTGTACGCAGCAGTTCGTGAAGGTCTCTCTGCTATCTCGTGGCCTTCGGTGTCACCTCAACTGTCTCCTCAGGAGAGGCAGCAGCAGCTTATGCTGCTGCTGCAGCAGCCCGCGCTGCTGCTGCTAGATACAGGACCCCGTCTACGTCCTCTGTCGGGGCCTAACCGAGCTGCATGCGCAGCAAACTTGGCTCTTTTTTCCCTGTACGTGCGGCTGCTGCTGCTGCTTTTGTGCTGTTGCACGTGGTGCTGCTGCAGTTCTTCTTGCTGCTGGCACATCTGCTGCTGATTGGCTCTGGCGCTGTGGTGCTGCTGTGTCTGCTGCAGTCATTTGGAAGATGTGAAACGGATATGTGCTGAGGCAGCAAGTGCAGCTGCTGCAGCCCCAGTTGCTGCTGCTGCTGTTGCTGTTGCTGCTGGGAGTGTGCTGCGTCCGGGGGACGCCGACGCTGCATGCTCCTTTCTGCTGGAGGAGCTGCAGCGGGTCTTCTGTCTCTCCCGTCTTGATTACTCTCCTTATCTATCGCAAATGGCTGCTCTTAGGGAGCTGCAGCTCGCTGCTGCTGCAGGGGGGGGGCCCCTAGAGGCCCTGCAGCCGGGGCCTCAGCCTCTGTGGGGCCACCCGGGAGACCCTGTACCTTCTCTTTCGCGTTTACTGATGCTGTATAGGCACCCGAAATCCGCAGGGGGGCCCATACTGCAGCTGCCGTGGCTTCCTGCGGGAGGCAGCCTGGGGGGAGGCCCCAGCCGCAACGCCTCCTCTGGAGTGAAGGGGGGCCCCCCTGGTACCCTTCCCTTGGAGACGCGTAAGCAGCAGAAAGGGATCGGGGGAAGCAGGAACCCCATACAGCAGCTGCCTGCTCCGCTGCTCAGTGCGGCGTTCCGGAGCAGCGTTGCTGCCGCTGCAATGCTGCGGCAAGCGTCTGCTGCAGCGGAGACTCCAGGGGCCCCAGAATATGCTGCTGCTGCTGCAGCAGCCGAGGAAGCAGCAGTGGCTCTTGCGCCAGCCCTGTGGCCGACAGCCCCAGACGCTCTTGCTTTAACAGGTACAGGAGGGACCCCCTCCGCAGCAGCGGCAGGAACAGCAGCAACAGCAACAGCAGCAACAGCAGAGGGGTCTAAGACAAGGAACGGGGGGGCCCCTCGGGGTTCCCGGGTGCGTGCTGCTGGTAAGGCGGTATCTGCGGAAGTGTCTCCTCAGGATGAGACAAATACCCCCAAGAAGGTGCCTATACACCGCAATTCTGTCTCCTCGAGACAACCTGCAAGGAGAGGGAGGGGGAGGCCCCCAAGGAGACGGGGGAAGGGCGGGAGGGGGACAAAAGGAGACACTTCTGATGCAGAAGAGGGGGAAGGAGACACCTCCAGAAGCAGCAGCAACAACAGCGGCAGCAGCGGCGACGAGTGGGTAGTGAGCCGCAGCAAAAGGAAAAGGTGCAAGACAGGGCGAGGGGGGCCCCCCACAAGGGGCCCCGGAAGACCCAGAAGGAGCCGTACCCTCCCTACAGAAGACACCTAACAGTGACCAACTATCTGTAGATACACCACAAGTGGAGATACTGCAGCACACAGGACCTGCCTATACACCCGATAAGGGGACACCTCCAGCCCAATTAACCCGCAAGCGACAGCAGCAGCAACCTCACAAAGCCGCTGCAAGCAAACTGCTGCAGCAGCTGCAGCTGCTGCAGCTGCTGCTGCAGCACCGATGTTTGACGGTACTGCAAGTGCAGATGCTGGAGGTATCGCCGTGACAGGTATAGTGGCAGAAGGAGGAGCAGCAGCAGCAGGTACAAGAATATTCGCAGCAGCAGGTACAGCAGCAGCAACCGCAGCAGCAGCAGATACAGCAGCGGCTGTGGAGACAGCAGATGCCGTTGGGTGCCGATGCATTTACTCGTACATTTGGATGCAGCAGCACAATACGCTTGGTTGGCCCAACACCCCAAGGCGACACTTCAGGTGCTGCAGCTAGCTGCTGCAGCTAGCTGCCAATATGTACAGCAGCAGCAGCAGCAGCCGTAGCAGGAGTAGCAGCAACGGTGGGTATGCAAAAGTGCAGTCCCCCAAAACGGAGTCTTTTTTTTGATGTACTAAACACTTGACTGGCGGCTTAGGGTTTAGGGTTAGGGCTTAGTGTTCAGGGTTTTGATCTGCGGGTTTAGGGTTTAGGGTTTGCCTGTTAAGGCGTCCTGATTAGGGTTTAGGGTTTAGTACTTTGCTCTAAAAGACAGAGAAAAAAATTAAAGAAGACAATTTTTGCCGTTAAATCTAAAAACCAATTGGAGGCCCGGATGGGAGACAGCCTGCTGCCTCTGTAACTGTTGCTGTTGCTGCAGCTGTTGGTGCAGCTGTTGTTGCTGTTGTTTCTGCTGTTGTTTCTGCTGTTGTTGCTGCTTTTGGTACGGAACAATAGCAGCTGCTGTTGGTGCAGCTACTGCTTTTGCTGTTGATACAACTGCTTCCGTCGTTGCTGATGCCACTGTTGCTGTTCCCGTTGCTGCTGCTATTACTGGTGGCACCACTGCTGCTGGTGCTTCGTTGCTGTAGGCACAGCCAGCGCTGCTCCTGCTGCAGCTGCTGGTGTTGAAACAGACGGAGCTCCTATTGATGCAGCCACCGCTGCTGCTGTTGGCTCATGTTGCCCTTGCTACTGCTGTAGTTGATCGGTGGTGCTGCTGCGGTTTCCTCTGCTGCCGGTGTTACACACGCGGCTACTAAAGCTGCCGCTTGCAGTTGCTGTTTGTCTGTAATGCTTCTGCTGCCATTGAGGTGAGTATATGTATGCTGTTGTTGCTACCACCTATCCGATTGTGCTGCTGTTGCTGCAGCAGCAGTCTCCTTCGGCTCTCAGGAGCTTAGCCGATGGTCTGAAGAACAAGCCAATGACGCAAAGGGCAAATATAGGCCAACGCTGCACGGCCATCTTGTAGGTCCTCTTGGCAACTTAATCGCCTGGTGGAGTGCCTGTACGACCAGCAGCAGTGCAACTTCCACAGCAGCACGAGCAGTTGAAGCAGCAACAGCAGTAGCAGAGGAAGCAGCCGAGGAGGTATTTGGGGTTATCCGCTGACCATTTCCCCTGAAACTGAAGGATTTATGGAGGGAAAATTGGATGAGTAGTTGAAAGTAAAGAGTTTCTTTCCTTTGTGCCGCACCACCAGCATCAGCAACAATCGACCGCCGTAAATCTGCAGCAGAGGCAGAGGCAATCGAGACGTGGAGTCACCACATCTGCTGGCTGGTTAGGTTTTATGGTGAAGCTCTTTGGTTTTCTTTTGAAAAAGGCAAAATATATTTGACTTAAAACAAATAAAGAGGGAAGGAAAGGCTTTAAAAAGTACAAGAAAGACTATGAGTGTAGCACTGTAACTGTATACAGCGAGGGTCACCCTTGCCCGACCGGGTGGATGTGAGTGGCTATTTGTTGTATATTGAATTGTCGCTTGTATGGGGATTTCAAACGTCATTTACTAAATTGCGAAAGTCAAATTAGCTGTAAGAGAGGAGCGAAAAGGAGGGAATAATGGTTAGTTGTGCAGGCGGAGCGCTGGCCGACTCACCGCTAGCAACTGCGTGCCGTATGATAGGCCAGCGCTGTTGAGTATGCTTGATGAGAGATTGAGGTGTATATACTTTTGTTCTTTCTTCTTCTCTCCTTTTCTCTCCTCTCCTCTTCTTGCCACGGTGTCTCCTTACTATTTCCCCTATTGAAAATGAGACGCGTGGCTGCTCCCGTGTTGGTGTTCCTTGCAGCTGTTGCTGGAGGAAGCGTCAGCCCAGCGCTGGCAAAGGCCCCCAGCCCTCCACCTCCAAAGAAGGCGGAGCCTCAGCAGCCACCTAGCAAGGCACCCCCTGCCCCTCAGGAGCCAGTATTGCCCCTGAACGTAGAAGAGGAGTGTTTTGAGGTGCCGTACAGCGTGGAGAAGACGTGTTACCGTGACGAGACGGTCTCACGCCCCTTCAGCTGTCCCCACCCTCTTTCCCACGAGTTTTGCGCCGTTAGCCAACAAGATGCGGAAGGTACTTGTCACCGGCTAGTAGAGCGCGAGGTGCAGTTCCAGTGTCCCAAGGCATCGCAGCAAAAGTTGTGCGCCAAGGTGCCCAAGACCGTTAAGAAGAACTGTTCGAAGCAGGTCGAGGAGAAGTTTGCCACAACTTGCCCCAAGCACATCACTGTGCCCAGGTGCGAGATCGTTGCAAAGCCTGCAGAGGGTACATGCATCGATTACGAGGCTTACAAGCAGGAGTATGACTGCTGGGGAAGCGAGACATCGATGGAGTGCTCTGTTGATATGGTAGTCACAGCTAACAAATGCAAGAGGGAAGTCCAAACTCCTGAAGAATACACCTATGAAGACGTCGTTATGGAGAGACACTGCACTAAACGTAGTGCCATCGACCATGGCAAGTGTCTGCGCAGCACCCTCACCGAGGAGCAGTATCCTTGCAACGAGCAAAAGTGGGAGAAGAAGTGCAATGACGTCAAGAAGGTTGTTCAGGAGCCTTGTGAAAAGGCAGTGAAGGCCCTCGAGACATACGATTGCAGTGAAATCAAGACACAGCAAGTCCCCAAGACATGCACTCGCCGTGTGCCTCTTAAGGCTAAGGTCGAGCGCTGCGGTGACTACAAGAAGAAGGGCAGATTGTTGGCTGGCAAAAAGGGCAAGTGCAGGCTTGTAGAAGTCGACACTGAGGAGATTGAGACCTATCCTTGCACGGAAGAAGTCCACATCTCCGTCCCCCGTGTCTGTACCCGTGAGGTCCAGCGCATGCAACAGCACATGTGTCCTCGTGAAGTCCCCGATGTCCAGTGTGAGATGGAGCTCAAGGAGATCCCCAAGAACTGTGTCCGCCAGGTAACACAGGAAGAGGAGGTCCCCTGCTCAGCTGTCCAGCACTTCAACGAATGCGAGGATGTTCCTCGTAAGGTCCCCCGTAAGGGCTACCGGTTCTCTACTCGCCAGGAGACCTTTGACTGTCCTCGTCATGAGTTCTTCGAGCGTTGCCATGAGATCAAGAAGCCCCGCAGAAGCACTTGTGTAGCAACTCTCTTCCGCCACGTCGAGAAGCCCTGCGAGCATCATGAGTTCGAGGAAGTATGCAAGGATGAGGAACAGACCGTAGACACCCCCTGCATCGACTCTAGACTGGAGGAGGTTGAATACCCCTGCCCCGAGCATATCGAGGAGGAGCACTGTGTGAATGTCCCCGCCTACGAGATGGGAACATGCACAACAGTTGTGCAAGAAAGCGAGGAATACCCTTGCCCCAAGAGAGAGCCTCGCATCCGCTGCAAGAATGTACGCGGAGAAAGGATCGGCACTTGCTTCAAGCCTGAGACCACTCGTGTTCCCTTCACTTGCTACGAGACCGACTTCAAGGAGCAATGCGTCCAGCTCGCTACCACTGAGGCACCCTCTCCCCCCCAGAAGGTCAAGCCCTCCAAACAGTAAATATTTATACTGTAAATATCTCCTCGACTTAATGATATTTAGGATATTCTTATACTGCAACCATAGGAACCTGACCGTCTACAGTCCTATACAAATCAACCTCCCAGATATATTTCCCCCAACTACAGCTGCGGCAGCAGTAGGACTCGTCTCCCTGCTGTCAGCAGCAGTTCTTGCTCCAGCTACAGCAGCAGCAGCAGCAGCACCAACAGCACGACACCAGTCATGCTTGGGGGTGCAGCAGCAGCAGCAGCAGCAGCACCAACAGCACGACACCAGTCGTGCTTGGAGGTGCAGCAGTAGCAACAGCGGCAACAGCAGCACCAACAGCATGACAGGAGTTGTGCTGGCGGAGCTGCGTCAGCAACAGCAACAGCAGCGCCAACAGCAGCGCCAACAGCATTGCGCTGGTGTAGCAGTAGCACCAGCTGCAACAGAAGCACCAGCAGCACGACAGGACTTGTGCTTGGAAGTGCAGCGTCAGCAGCACCTGCATCAGAAGCACCAACAGCACGACACCAGTCGTACATGGAGGTGCAACAGTAGCAGAAGCTGCAACAGCAGCACCGACAGCACGGCAGTCGTGATAGAGCAGTAGCAGCAGCTGCAATAGCAGCCCCGACAGCATGACAGGAGTTGTGCAGACGGCGCGGCAGCAGCAGCAGCTGCAACAGCAGTACCAACAGCTGCAACAGCACGACAGGAGTTGTGCTGGTGCAGCAGTAGTAGCAGCTGCAACAGCAGCACCAACAGCATGACAGGAGTTGTGCAGACGGCGCGGCAGCAGCAGCAGCAACAGCAGCACCAACAGCACGACAGGAGTTGTGCTTTGTGCAGCAGCATCAGCTGCAACAGCAGCACCAACAGCACGACAGGAGTTGTGCTTGGGGGTGCAGCAGTAGCAGCAGCAGCAACAGCAGCACCAACAGCACGACAGGAGTTGTGCTTGGGGGTGCAGCAGTAGCAGCAGCAGCAACAGCAGCACCAACAGCATGACAGGAGTTGTGCTTTGTGCGGCAGTAGCATCAGCTGCAATTGCAGCACCAACAGCATGACAGGAGTTGTGCTTGGGCGTGCAGCAGTAGCAGCAGTTGCAACAGCAGCACCTACAAGAGTTGTGCTTGTGCAACGGCCGCATCACCAACAGCAGCACGACAGGAGTTGTGCTGGTGCAGCGGCCGCAGCACCAACAGAAGCACGACGGAAATTTAACAACAGCAGGAGGGTACGACAGGTCGTACTGTGTAGCAGTTCCGGTTTCCCCGGCTGCTGATCTCTTCGGAGTTCTCTTCCCCCACAACAGCAGCAAATGCAGCAGGCAAATGCGGGTTTATTCTACGCGTATATATACACATCTCAATGTGTGTTTTCTGCTGCTGCTGCTGGTCTTGCGCCGCAGCAGTGCACCTGCTGACAGTGTTGCAGCACTGTGGGGTTTTCTGTTGCATGTGTTCGCTTGGCTGGGAAGGAAACCCCAAACCCTAGCAAACACTAAGCCCTGCTATAGATCCCGATCATATGCAATCTATTGACCTGTTCCCATACCTTTTCCAGGCCTCCCCTCGCTTGCTTATTGCAGCGACGTCTGATGCCACGCGTACTCCACCGTGTGCCGGAGGCTGCGGCAACAGCAGTCGATGCGTGTGTAACAGCAGAAGCAAGTGCTGCTTCTGCTGCTGCCGCTGCTCCTGCTGCTGCTGCACCCAAGCAGCTCGTAGCCGCTTTAAGGAACATGGCTTCCCTTGCAACCGGAAGGACATACATGTAATCGGCAACAGGATACATGTACTATCAATAGATTGAACGTGCTCCATTATTTATTGAGGTTTTGCTGCAGTCGCAGCCTTTGCGTGCTGCTGTTGCCACTGCTATTAACAGCAGCAGCAACAGAAGCAGCAAAAGGATACTGTAGCACCCCTCTCTCGTTCCCCCAACGAGATTCCGCAGTGTATTCTTTATCCGCAGTGTATTCTTTATCCTAAACCATTTATTTTGAGCTTTTTACAGCGCTTTTTCCTTTCCCATTACTTTCTTTTTTTCGTCTTTTTTATGCTCACTTGTTTCGCAGCATCTCAGTAGTGTATACCTCATCCAGTCTGATGGCATTATCTCAACTAGTGGCATTAATTCATAGACATGCTAGCACTACTACAGGTGGATTACTATTAACAGAAACTGTCTATTAGTATATACCTCATCTAGTCTGATGGCATTATCTCAACTAGTGGCATTAATTCATAGACATGCTAGCACTATTACAGGTGGATTACTATTAACAGAAACTGTCTTATTAGCCAAGTGTGATGCCCAACACTCATCATATGAGCGTTGGTCTAGACAGATCAAAATAAACATGCGAGTGTGTAATATTTCATTCATACATGATGATTTATTCAGAAGATCATGTACCAAAAAATTGGTACACGACTTTCCATCTTGACAACAGTATTTTAAAACTGTTTCCTAACTGCTGCAAACCATAACCTGAGTGTTAGACTGGCATAGCAAGTGAATAGCAGCAATAGCATAGCAAGTGTACAGCAGCAATAGCTGAGGTTGACTGACGACGGCTGCAGGGCTCGAACCTGCGCGGGCAGAGCCCATTGGATTTCAAGTCCAACTCCTTAACCACTCGGACAAACCGCCAGCAGAAGCGGCAAAACACTGGTTGTACTGGTGTAGTAGCAAATGTTCTAAATAAGTACTGACAATGTTAACCTGCGCAGTGGAAATTTAATAAATTGCTGAATGGTGAAACAAGCACTACTTTCTTTTATGCCCACTTGCTTCGCAGCATCTCAGTAGTATATACCTCATCTAGTCTGATGGCATTATCTCAACTAGTGGTATTAATTCATAGACATGCCAGCACTATTACAGGTGGATTACTATTAACAGAAACTGTCTTATTAGTCAAGTGTGTCTTGCATATAAGATGTGTGTGCACGAGAACGATCTCTTATGCTATAGGAGGGAAGTAAGCTCGTGTATGTTGTTAGTCCGATTGCTGCTGCATTGGACCTGTTGTTTCCCGCCATGGAGGATATGCCACCAGTGTGCAAATGGCAGCATGGAACAGACTTGATTAGGGTCTACGAGGGCTTACGGCAGGCCCTAGGATTTAGGGTTTCCTACTACCCCACATGCCACGTCCATGCAACAGGATATGTACTTTAACAGGTTGGAAGGTGCTCGTTGCTCCTTACATGGATTAGTTCACTGTGTTACTTCTGCTGTTGCTATTGCTGTTGTATTTGCTGTTGCCAATCCTGTAAATCCTGTTACTGATGTACCTGCTGCTGATGCTGTAGGTGTTGCAGGGAAACAGGGCATTACTAGCAGCCTCAGTTGGAGTAGTGTCAGCCATGTTTGGAGAAATGTTAAATAATTAACTCAGTTAAAGCCATATTTTGAGGGGAGGCAATCTAATACATATTAAGAACATCATCAAGCTTTCAGGAGCATTCCCTACAACAATCACTAAATCCTCAACCCTAAACCCTAGGTGTTTATGAAGGTGGTTATATTACCCCCCACCTCCCACCCTTCCCCCTTCGCGTAACCTTCATGGGAGGTATGTAGCAACTAGTAGGAGAGAAGATAAGCAGACAGCGACAATAAGCACGAATGTAGTTTATATTAATATAAAAAGGGCGTCGAGAAGCAGCAGCAGCAACAAACTGGAGATGCAGCAGAGCCAACCATCGTCTGATGCTGCCGCAGCAGCTGGTGCTTGTCGCTGCTGTTGAAGTGTGGTCATTCATGATTGAACAGCAGCAGCAGGAGCAACAGCAGTAGCAGCAGCAGCCCATAATACATCAGTGCCGTTTGCTGTAGCTCCCTTATTTTCTATTCCCGTTTATAATAGCTGATAAAGCTGCTGGAGAGAAATTTTTTCCTGCATTGCTGAGGCGTGGGTCCACTGGTCAGCAGAAGACAGACGCCGGAGCTGTTCTTTTGAGATGCTTCTTTCTTCGTCAGTTTGTTTCCCCTTTATTCTTCCTTTAGTTGAGTAATTGAAATTAATGATTTAATTTAAACCAACAGAAGCAGCAGCAACACCAAACAACATAGACTGCTGTTGTCGGTGTGGCCTGCGCCGACTGCCCGCCGCGGCGGTGCCGTGTTAACACACTGCAGCAGCAGGTGGAAACGCGGTTCAAATTGCTGTTAGCAGCTCTTATTCACTGAAATATACAATATATGCATGCTTGTTGGTGTGCTGCTGCTGTTTTTTTCTGTTGTTGCTGCCGTTGTTGCTTGTGTTGATGTTGGGTTGCCACATTGCTGCTGCAGCATCCCCCTCATCTGCCCCAAACGCGGCGTCCCTGCTGCAGAGGGTCCTCAAGTCGTTTGCTACGGCTGTCCTACGCGTCACGAACGAGCCTACTGGCCCTCCCTACCCCAGGGTTAGCACCAGCAGCAGCAGCAGCAGAAGGCGATGCCGCAGCAGCCCCACCAAAAGCCACAACAACGGCAGCAGCAGACCAAAAATGGCAGCAAGCGAAGCAGATGTGGAAACAGTAGCAAAACAAAGCAGCATCAGCAGAAGAGGTAGCAACAACGGCAGCTCAGGATATAGCAGCAGCAGCACATCCACAGCCTCGTTTACTTGAAGGCATTTGAACTGCTGCTTGCTTTGCTACTCTGCAGGTATTTTTATTCAAGACTCTTCAACCACATTCGTCCCGGCGGCTGCGGCGGCTGCTGCTGCCGCTGCCGCCGCAGCCGCAG